TTTTTTTTTTTTTGCACATGGCGTCAATTACAGTGCTTTGAACACTTTGCCTACTTTGAGTAAAAACTCCATGAGCTCCCAAGAACGGGGACTAATATTACATCTCCCTTTCTTCTCTTTGCTATTTCCCACAATCACTCTTAACCTTAGAAACAGGGACCATTTTCCTGGCTGCTGGGTCCACCCACTAGAGGTAAGGAAGGGGACTGCCTATGTCATAAAGGGCATTTTGCCATGTGAGGGGTGGGAGTGATTTAAAGGCCACATGGGTTCTGGGCACAGAACCCAGAGTGGGAGTAGCCCTCAACAATGACAAAGAAACTTCCCCCCATTCCTCAGCCTCCACCTCGCCGCTCTCTTCCTCCACGCTCTCCCCCAACTGTCGTTCCTCATCTTTTCCTCTGCATCCCCGCCCTCCACATCCTTGTCTTCAGCCTCCCCACCCTCCACATCCCCTTCCTCAGCTTCCCTGCCCTCAGCCTCCCAGTCCTCAGCCTCCTCCCCTGAAACCTGCATCTTCTACTATTTCCTCTTCCTCCACTTTCCCCCACATAAATAATGCCCCCCATTCCCAGAATCCTGCCCAGAGGCTCCACAAGGCCAACAACTCTGTCCCTTCCTGACAGCCCCTCTCCCGCCCCCCTGTCCACTTGGCTCCCCTTTCCCTCAACTCCCCCATCAACATCCCTACCCCTCCCCATGGCCCTTCCTTTTAGGGCCCTGCTTACCCTACTATACCCCCAGGCTACACCTATCAAGTCCCAAGTCTTCTGGGGAGATGGATTCTCTAGGACTGGGACACTTTGGAACAGCCCTGAATCCCAGCACTGTGGATTTTCAGCCTGACCTGGTGGGCTCAGAGCAGGCAAGGCAAAGGCAACCATGCCTTAGCCTAGGTGAGTTACAGGCCCTCCACCACCAGCTCCTGCTTGTCTCTAGTGTGTGTTGAGCCTCCACCCCTATGTTAATTCAGATTCCAGGGATGCCTTTAACAATTTCCTTTTCTTTCTTTTTCTTTTCTTTTCTTTTTTTGAGACAGAGTCTTAAGCTGTCGCCCTGGGTAGAGTACTGTGGCATCACAGCTCACAGTAACCTCCAACTCCTGGGCTTAAGCAATTCTCTTGCCTCAGCCTCCCAAGTAGCTGGAGATTCTGTTTTCCTGAATAGAGTGCTATGGCATCACAGCTCACAGCAACCTCCAACTCTTGGGCTTAAGTGATTCTCTTGCCTCAACCTCCCAAGTAGCTGGGACTACAGGCACCCACCACAATGCTTGGCTATTTTTTGGTTGCAGTTGTCATTGTTGCTTAGCAGGCCGGGGCTGGGCTCGAATCCACAACCCTAGGTGTATGTGGCCAGTGCCCTGCCGACTGAGCTAGGGGCACCACCCTACAATTTCCTTTTCTAGGCAGTCTGGTCCTTTCCTCTTCTGTCGCCTCCGCCAGCCTGCATGAGCCTCTGCACATGTGACTGGCCTCTCCATGGAACATGGTCTGTGACTACAGAGCAGACTATAGGATCTTGATCAGCAGCCAAGCAGGTACAGGAAAGTAAGAAGTGGAAAGTGTTCCACCTATTCAAGGGGGCAGGGGCTTGGGTGAAATGAGTCAATAGAGGGTGGGTCCTGAGCACTCACTCAGGGCACAGGCCCTGCTACAGATAGATGGGGACTCAGGATGGTTTTTCTTTGTACTTTTTGACCTCTTTCCTTCCAGACTTTATTTTTCTTCATCCTAGGATTCTACAGTCATCCCAGGGACTCTCTGCCCTTGAGAAAAGTCTCCTCTAAAAAGGGATCAGAGCCCTCCACTGTGTTGTCTTCAAAGCTCTGAGGATTGAGCCCGACTTAGTCATCCTACCCCACAATGGG